AGCTGGGATTACAGGCACGAGCCACCATGCCCAGCTAATTTTTTGTATCTTTAGTAGAGACAGGGTTTCACCATGTTGACCAGGATGGTCTCGATCTCTCGACCTCGTGATCCACCCGCCTCAGCCTCCCAAAGTGCTGGGATTACAGGCTTGAGCCACGGCGCCTGGCCAAAAATTCTTTATCATTACATCTACCTTCACGTTTGTTATTGATTTTGCTAATTATGTTTTTATGTTGTATATTCATTAACAGATGTTTATAATAATATCTATAGTCTTCTCTTTTAAATTTTAGAGAATAATTAAAAATATATTCTGGGCCGGGCGCGGTGGCTCAAGCCTGTAATCCCAGCACTTTGGGAGGCCGAGGTGGGTGGATCACAAGGTCGAGAGATCGAGACCAACCTGGTCAACATGGTGAAACCCCATCTCTACTAAAAATACAAAAAAAACTAGCTGGGCATGGTGGCGCGTGCCTGTAATCCCAGCTACTCAGGAGGCTGAGGCAGGAGAATTGCCTGAGCCCAGGAGGCAGAGGTTGCGGTGCGCCTAGATCGCGCCATTGCACTCCAGCCTGGGTAACAAGAGCAAAACTCCGTCTCAAAAAAAAAATATATATATATATATATTCTGCACTATTATAATAATGTTAAGTAGGAAATTTTATTTTTTGTGTATGTGCATTATCTTTTCCAGAAAATTATATTTTCATACGATTTTTTTTTTTTTTTTTTTTTTTTTTTTGGAGACGAGTTTCGCTCTTGTTACCCAGGCTGGAGTGCAATGGCGCGATCTCGGCTCACCGCAACCTCCGCCTCCTGGGTTCAAGCAATTCTCCTGCCTCAGCCTCCTGAGTAGCTGGGATTACAGGCACACACCACCATGCCCAGCTAATTTTTTGTATTTTTAGTAGAGACGGGGTTTCACCTTGTTGACCAGGATGGTCTCGATCTCTCGACCTTGTGATCCACCCGCCTCGGCCTCCCAAAGTGCTGGGATTACAGGCTTGAGCCACGGCGCCCGGCCCTTTCATACGATTTTGTGTTGTTTTCTTGCTATACTATTTTCAGTGAAAGAAACTCCTTTCAGCATCTTTGATGGGCATATGCAGTGCCAATATACTTCCTCAGGATTTGGTTATTTTCAAGGATTTCTTGTTATTTGGTAGTAAAATTTTGCTGATGATATTTTTCCCACCGGAGAGCTTTTTAAAAAAATTATAACTTTAACAATATCACAGAGTTTCCTTTTGACCTGCAAACGATTTTTTCATAAATGCACTTGTTACCTCATGAGACTATGCTTATAAATGAAACATCATTTTCATCTTGCAACTCCCCAAATTTGCTTATGTATAATTTTTGAAATTTTGCTAATATGTGTGTTTGATGTAAATATCTGTGTGTATCGAGTGCAATGGCGTGATCTCAGCTTCCCGCAACCTTCCCCTCCCAGGTTCAAGCGATTCTAAGGCCTCAGCCTCCCAAGTAGCTGGGACTATAGGCATGTGCCCCCACGCCTGGCTAATTTTTTGTATTTTTAGTAGGGACAGGGTTTCACCGTGTTAGCCAGGATGGTATTGATCTCCTGCCTTCATAATCCACCCACCTTGGCCTACAAAAGTTCTGGAATTACAAGTGTGAGCCACTTAGCTCACCTAATTTTTTGTATTTTTAGTCAAAACTGGTTTTCACTATGTTGGCCAGGATGGTCTCGGTCTCTTAACCTCATCATCTGCCCACCTTGGCCTCCCAAAGAGCTTGGATTAGAAGTGTGAGCCACTGTGCCCAGTCTGTTTTTTTAAGAAATTTTTCAATTATTTTTTGTATTTTGTATATCCACAATTTTTGTTTTTTGCTATTTTAATATTTCTTGTTATCCTCCTTTTTCTGATGTTTGGTAGTTCTCCGTGTTTTTATTTCACTTCCTGAATATTATTCAATTGTACTTATTTATTAGTTTTTCTGAATTGGAGACTTTTTCTGTCACCCAGGCTGGAGTTCAGTGGTGTGATCTAGGCTCACTGCAATTTCCTCCTCCCAGGTTCAAGGCATTGTTTTGCCTCAGTCCCCCAAGTAGCTGGGAGCAGGTGCCTGCAACCAGCCTGGCTAATTTTTTGTATTTTGAGTAGAGACGGGTTTCACCACGTTGACAAGGCTGATTTTGAAATGCTGAGCTCAAATGATCAGCCCACCTCTGCCTCTCAAAGTGCTGGAATTGCAAGCATGAACCACCGGGCCCAGCCTATTTTATGTTGTATTTGAGATGGTCTTGCTCTGCTTCCCAGGTTGCAGTGCAGTGGTACAATCTCCACTCACTGCAACCTTTCCCTACTGGGGTCAAGCAATTCTGTTGTGTCAGCCTCCCAGGTAGCTGGGATTATAGCCACATGCCACCACACCCTGCTAATTTTTGTATTTTTAGTAGACACGGGGTTTCACCATGTTGGCTAGGCTGTTCCCTTTTTTTTTTTTTTTTTTTTTTTTTTAATTGAGACAGAGTTTAAGTCTTGTTGCTCAGGCTGGAGTGCAGTGGTGTGATCTTCACTCACTGCAACTCCGCCTCCCGGAAGTGATTCTCCTGCCTTAGCCTCCTGAGAAGCTGTTGTTAAAGGCATCAACCAGTATGCCCAGCTAAATTTTGTATTTTTATTAGAGACGGGGTGTTTCTATGTTGGTCAGTGTGGTCTCAAACTCCTGACGTCAGGTCATCCACCTGTCTCAGCCTCCTAAAGTGCTGAGATTACACATGTGAGACACTGTACCCGGCTTCAGGCTGGTCTCAAACTCCCGCCACCGTGTTATTTTCCCACCTTGGCCTCCCAGTATGTTGGGATTCCAGGAATAAGACAACAAGCCTTGTCTGTTCAATTTGTTTGTAATTTTTAAAATTACTGGTCCAGGCACGATGGCTCACGCCTATCTTCCTAGCACTTTGGGAGGCCGAGGCAGATGGATCACAAAGTCAGAAGTTCAATACCAGCCTGACCAAGATAGTGAATCCCCGTCTCTACCAAAAATTACAAAAAACTTAGCCGGGTGTGGTGATACACACTTGTAATCTCACATAGTTGGGAGGCTGAGACAGGAGAATCGTTTGAACCTGGAAGGTAGCGGTTTCAGTGAGCTGAGATCATACCACTGTACACCAGCCTGGGCAACAGAGGAAGACTGTCTCAAAAGAAAAAAAATACTTTATATGCATTTTATGGTTGCTTTTGAAAATTTTATAATATTTTTGATGGGGCCATTTTCCATACGTTGTAATCTTTGATTGAGATTTCGACATTAACAAAAACTACCTCTTAGGATCTTTATAATACTGTATTGTCTTGGTGTAGTCTGAAAACAATTGTGCTGGCTAGACGTTCTGTGAAATTATTGAACATGCTTTTAGGAGGTGTTTTATCCAAAATTTTGTGTTTCATGTTTAACTAAATTGGCTTATTCATACTTCTTCTTAATAATCAGTCATCACTTGCTACACCTCTTTCCTGTTTGTGGTACTGCATTTTCTCTGCTTCTGTAACATTTATCTTTAGACTCAGTGAACTCAAACTGTCATTCCAACGTATATCATTATTTCTTTCAGCATTTTATATCATGGGAGACATTAACCAGTGTCTGCAAAGGCCCCTAGAAGTGAGAAATAAAGATTTATGTGCCAGTATATTTCTTTTTCTTTTAAAAAAGAAACCAGTAGTTGGCAATTTAAATTTTTGTGTGTGTGTGAGTGACACAGTTTCACTCTGTTACCTAAACTGAAGTGCAGTGAAATGATGTTGGCTGACTACAGTCTCTGCCTCCACAGTTCAAGCAATTCTCTTGCCTCAGTCTCCCAAATAGCTAGCATTACAGGTACCTGTTACCACACCTGGCTAATGTTTTGTATTTTTATTAGACATGGGAGTCCACCCAGATGGTCAGGCTGGTCTCAAACTCCTGACTTCACGTAATCTTCATGTCCTGTTTATCTGATGTGCTGAGATTATAGGAATAAGACAGCATTCCTTTCTGACAATTTACTTTATTGGTTTTTGATTGGTTTTGTTCTTGGTTTTTGTTTTTTTTTTTAAATACAAAGTCTCACTCTGTCACCCAGGCTGGAGTGCAGTGGCATGATCTGAGCTCACTGCAACCTCTGCCTCCCAGACTCCAGCCGTTCTCTGCCTCAGCCTCCTGAGTAGCTGGGATTACAGGTGCTATAACCACGCCCAGCTAATTTTTGGTATTTTTAGTGCAGATGGGGTTTCACCATCTTCGACAGGTTGATCTTCAACTCCTCACCTCGTGATCCATCCCTGTCACCTTCCCAAAATGCTAGGATTACAGATATGCAACACCAAACCCAGCTGGCAATTTACTTTTTTTTTTTTTTTTTTTTTTTTTTAAGACAAAGTTTCCCTCTTGTTAACCCAGGCTGGAGTGCAATGGCACGATCTGGGCACACCGCAACCTCCACCTCCTGGGTTCAGGCAATTCTCCTGCCTCAGCCTCCTGAGTATCTGGGATTACAGGCACGTGCCACCATGCCCAGCTAATTTTTTGTATTTTTAGTAGAGACGGGGTTTCACCATGTTGACCAGGATGGTCTCGATCTCTTGACCTCGTGATCCACCCTCCTCGGCCTCCCAATGTGCTGGGATTATAGGCTTGAGCCACCACGCCCAGCGCAATTTACTTTTAAAGGCACAGTGTTACACTGAAGAGGTGGAGGACCTGTGTTGGGTATAAGAAACAGACTTTTCTGTTTCTTCTGTGTGGCTCTTTACACTGGGCTCACCTGGGGTCCTTCACACACTTAACACACTTAGAAATATTTTACAAATGGATTTTGGTATGTGTTTGTTACATTTATACATCCAGGAAGAAATTACAGCTTGTAGTATTTTACTATGACATCTCACTTCTGTAGTTTGTATAATTTTATATGTTAGATTTGTAAAGTGTACTTATCTGAGTCTAGCAATTGAAGTAATGTGTTTTTATTGTTTCTTTTAGTTACATGTTCTCATTTTACCCAAGATCTTTGGTCAGAGCAGGGGATTAAAGATTCTTTCCAAAAAATGATACTGAGAAGATATGAAAAATGTGAACATGACAATTTACAGTTAAATAATGGCTGTCAATGTGTGGATGAGTGTCATATGCAGAAAGCAGTTTATAATGGACTCAACCAAAGTTTGACAAGTACCCAGAGAACAATATTTCAATGTGATAAATATGTGAAAATCTTCTATAAGTTTTCAAATGCCAAAAGACACAAGATAAGACATATTGGGAAAAAATTCTTCATATATATACAATGTGGCAAAGCTATTAACCAGTCCTTAACCATTACTACACATAAGAAAATTCATACTGAGGAGAAACCATACGAATGTGAAGAATGTGGCAAAGCCTCCAACTGGTCCTCACACCTTACTAGACGTAAGAAAATTCATACTGGAGAGAAACCCTACAGATGTGAAGAATGTGGGAAAGCCTTTACAAGTTCCTCTAACCTTGCTAAACATAAGAAAATTCATACTGGAGAGAAACCCTACAGATGTGAAGATTGTGGAAAAGCTTTTACGCGATCTGCAACCCTTACTACACATAAGAAAGTTCATACAGGAGAGAAACCCTACAGATGTGAAAATTGTGGAAAAGCCTTTACAAGTTCCTCTAACCTTATTGCACATAAGAAAATTCATACTGGAGAGAAACCCTACATATGTGAAGATTGTGGAAAAGCTTTCAAGCAGGCCACACACGTCAGTGCACATAAGAAAATTCATACTGGAGAGAAACCCTACAGATGTGAAGAATGCGGCAAAGCTTTTACCCAATCTTATACCCTTACTACACATAAGAAAATTCATACTGGAGAGAAACTCTACAGATGTGAAGAATGTGGCAAAGACTTTATGCACTCCTCAAGCCTTTCTGCACATAAGAGAATTCATACTGGAGAGAAACCGTACAGCTGTGAAGATTGTGGAAAAGCTTTCAAGCAGGCCGCACATGTTATTGCACATAGGAAAATTCATACTGCAGAAAAGCTCTACAGATGTGAAGTTTGTGGAAAAGCCTTTAGGCATTCCTCTAACCTTATTGCACATAAGAAAATTCATACAGGAGAGAAACCCTACAGATGTGAAAATTGTGGAAAAGCCTTTACAAGTTCCTCTAACCTTATTGCACATAAGAAAATTCATACTGGGGAAAAACCATACAGCTGTGAAGAATGTGGAAAAGCCTTTACAAGTTCCTCTAGCCTTGCTAACCATAAGAAAATTCATACTGGAGAGAAACCCTACAGATGTGAAGATTGTGGAAAAGCTTTCAAGCAGGCCAGACACGTCAGTGCACATAAGAAAATTCATACTGGAGAGAAACCCTACAGATGTGAAGAATGCGGCAAAGCTTTTACCCAATCTAATACCCTTACTACACATAAGAAAATTCATACTGGAGAGAAACTCTACAGATGTGAAGAATGTGGCAAAGACTTTATGCACTCCTCAAGCCTTTCTGCGCATAAGAGAATTCATACTGGAGAGAAACCGTACAGCTGTGAAGATTGTGGAAAAGCTTTCAAGCAGTCCGCACATGTTATTGCACATAGGAAAATTCATACTGGAGAAAAGCTCTACAGATGTGAAGTTTGTGGAAAAGCTTTTAGGCATTCCTCTAACCTTATTGCACATAAGAAAATTCATACTGGGGAAAAAACATACAGATGTGAAGAATGTGGAAAAGCCTTTACAAGTTCCTCTAACCTTGCTAACCATAAGAAAATTCATACTGGAGAGAAACCCTACAGATGTGAATATTGTGGAAAAGCTTTTACCCAATCTGCAACCCTTACTACACATAAGAAAATTCATACAGGAGAGAAACCCTACAGATGTGAAGAATGTGGGAAGGCCTTTATTAATTCCTCTGACCTTACTAGACATAAGAAAATTCATACCGGAGAGAAACCCTACAGATGTGAAGAATGTGGGAAGGCCTTTATTAATTCCTCTGACCTTACTAGACATAAGAAAATTCAGGCTGGGCACGGTGGCTCAAGCCTGTAATCCTAGCACTTTGGGAGGCCGAGGCGGGTGGATCACGAGGTCAGGAGATCGAGACCATCCTGGTCAACATGGTGAAACCCCGTCTCTACTAAAAATACAAAAAATTAGCTGGGCATGGTGGCACGTGCCTGTAATCCCAGCTACTCAGGAGGCTGAGGCAGGAGAATTGCCTGAACCCAGAAGGCAGAGGTTGTGGTGAGCTGAGATCGCGCCATTGCACTCCAGCCTGGGTAACAAGAGCGAAACTCCCTCTCAAAAAAAAAAAAAAAAAGAAAATTCATACTGGAGAGAAACCATACAGATGTGAAGAATGTGGGAAAGCCTTTATGAATTCCTCTAATCTTAATAAACATAAGATAATTCAGACTGGAGAGAAACCCTATGAATGTAGGAAAGCCTTTAACCAGCTCTCAACTCTGACTTAATATGAGAATTTATATGAAACATAGACCCTAAAATATAAGGAATTTGTAACCTTCATTACAAATAATTCATGCTGGACAGAAGCCCTGTAAGTGTGAGGAATGTGGCAAACTTTGTAACAAGTCGCCTTTTTTTTGAGAGAGAGTTTCACTCATCACCAAGGATGAAGTGCAATGGCAAAATTTTGGCTCACTGCAACCTCTGCTTTCTGAGTTCAAGCCATTCTCTTCCCTCAGACTCTTGAGTACCTAGTATTACAGGTTCCCACAGCCACGCCTTGCACATTTGTGTCTTTTTAGTAGTGATAGGGTTTTACTGTCTTTGCCAGGCTGGTCTCCAACTTCTGACCTGAGGTGATCCACCCACCTTGGACTCCTAAAGTACTGGGATTACAGGTGTGTGCCACCACATCTGGCCACAAGTTCTTAATTCTTAAGAGACATGGCATGTTGGGATGCACTCAGGATGGTAGCAAAGATATTAAGGGAAAAATATTAGAAATTGTTATCAAAAACCGCCCTGGGAGGCTTAGAGGTTTGCATAGTTTGAGAAAATTTAGTCCAGAGGCAGCCAAACCCTTTTTATATTTAGTTATAAGAAAAGCAAATATCTAGGGAATGCAAGGGAGTTTATTTGAATAGTTTGGTTTACTCAGTAACCTCTGATGCCTCCAGATGGCCATCTCAAGAGGAGTTCAGGCCGGGTGCGGTGGCTCAAGCCTGTAATGCCAGCACTTTTGGGAGGCCGAGGCGGGTGGATCACGAGGTCAAGAGATCCAGACCATCCTGGCCAACGTGGTAAAACCCCGTCTCTACTAAAAATACAAAAAATTAGCTGGGCATGGTGGCGCGTGCCTGTAATCCCAGCTACTCAGGAGGCTGAGGCAGGAGAATTGCCTTCACCCAGGAGGCGGAGGTTGCGGTGAGCCATGATGGCGCCGTTGCACTCCGGCATGGGTAACGAGTGAAACTCCGTCTCAAAAAAAAAAGGAGTTCAACCAGGGAGAGTACCCATTAATGGTATTTACTTTCAGTATTGGAACCTGAGCTTTTATCATTTGTAAAACCACTTTTTTAACCCATGTTAATTATCCAGAAGCATGTTCGCTTGGAACCTCTTTTTAAAGCTCTACTGAATAAATGTGAGGAGGAACAACTAGAGGTTGTCATGTAGCTATGATCAGTCTCTCTCATTGTGAGAAACCCATGATCCCCTCACCTGATTCTTACATTGTATTCTCTGTTTGAATGTATTTATTCATTTGTCACTGAGTCAGGATCTGCAGTACAGACACCTACCCGGTAGTGACCCGCACATCACCAATGTCACAATGGCAATAATTTATGCTGAAGAGAAACTAAAAACCTGAAAGATGCAACAGTATTTTTACTAACACCTCTAACTTTTCTGTGCACAAGAAAAAATGCATACATTTCTAGTGTGAAACCCTAAAAATGTCCAAAACATGACAAAGCCATTATAGGGTTGCCACACTTGATTTTAGGTAAGATAATTCATACTGGCAAAACTCCTCCCAGTGTGAGGAATGTGGCAAAACGTAACCAGTGCTCACACTTTATTTCACAGGAAAGCTATTATGCCTGAGAAAAGGTGTACAAATACAAACAAATACAGAAAACCCATTAATGCCTACTCACCTATTATGCAACATGAAAACATTCATAGTTAATAAAAGCATTTAAAGTGCAATTACTGGTCCGGGCGCGGTGGTTCACGCCTGTCATCCCAGCACTTTGGGAGGCCGAGGCGGGTGGATCACGAGGTCAAGAGATGGAGACTATCCTGGTCAACATGGTGAAACCTGGTCTCTATTAAAAATACAAAAAATTAGCTGGGCGTGGTGGTGCGTGCCTGCAATCCCAGCTACTTGGGAGTCTGAGGCAAGAGAATTGTCGGAACCCAGGAGGTGGAGGTTGCGATAAGCCGAGATGATGCCATTGTACTCCAGCCTGGATAACAAGAGAGAAACTCCCTCTCAAAAAAAAAAAAAAGAAAAAGAAAAAAAAATACAATTACTGTCAAAAATCTTTCATAAAATATGTCTTTAAAGTTAAGAGTATTCTCAAAAACGGTTACAAATATAAAGGGTGTTGTAGTAACTTTAGTTGTATTACAGATCTTATTGTACACATTTTGTACTGAAGGATAACCTACAGAAGTTGGTCAAGCATTGTTCTAAGTCAGTGAATTTCTATTAGAGAAGGGTCCGGTAAATGTAATGAATTGGAGAAGAATTTTTAATTCAAAAGCTACAGCTGCCGGGCGCGGTGGCTCAAGCCTGTAATCCCAGCACTTTGGGAGGCCGAGGCGGGCGGATCACTAGGTCTAGAGATCGAGACCATGCTGGTCAACATTGTGAAACCCCGTCTCTACTAAAAATACAAAAAATTAGCTGGGCGTGGTGCCGCGTGCCTGTAATCCCAGCTACTCAGGAGGCTGAGGCAGGAGAATTGCCTGAGCCCAGGAGGCGGAGGTTGCGGTGAGCCGAGATCGCGCCATTGCACTCCAGCCTGGGTAACAAGAGCGAAACTCCGTCTCAAAAAAAAAAAAAAAATAGCTACAGCTGGCGCGGCGAGCTGAGGCGAGGGCCGCGCGGGCCACCATCGCCACGGACGAGTTGGGCACCAAGCTGAGCCAGTGGCTGCAGTATGAAGGAAAAGGCCGCGAAGCAGCCAGGGCTGAACAGGGTGGCGGCGGTGGCGGCGCTGCGCAGCGCGGACTGTGAGCTGAGAGCCAAGCTGCTGCTGCATGCCAACCTCAACCAGGGCATCGGCGAGCCCCAGTCGCCCAGCCGCCGCGTCTTCATCCCCAGTCCCCGTGGAGTGGGACCCAAGGGGCTTATTGGAGGCACCAGGGGACCCCTCCCCACGGCCTTTTCCTCCACCTCTGCCTCTTCTATCTGCTGAAATGGGGCAGAGGGTGGGGAGCTTCTGTTCTGGTGAAGGGACCCAGGCCCCCCATGCTGACTTGGAGACCCCCAGATCTCTGGGGCCCGCTTTCTGCCTTTTCATGCACACCATCTTGAAGAAAGGGTACTCCTTTTTTTTTTCTTTCTTTAAGTTCTGGGATACATGTGCAGGTATCAACAAAGACGTGCAGGTGTGTTACATAGGTATACATCTGCCATGGTGGCTTGCTGCACCTATCAACCCATCATCTAGGTGATAAGCCCTGCATGTATTAGTTATCTGTCCTAATGCTCTCCCTCCCCATGCCTCCCACCCTCTGACAGGCCCTTGTGTGTTATATTTTCTCCCTATGTCCATGTGTTCTCATTGTTCAACTTCCACTTACAACTGAGAACATGTGGTGTTTGATTTTCTGTTTCTGTAATAGTTTGCTGAGAATGATGGCTTCCAGCTTCATCCATGTTCCTGCAAAGGACATTAACTCATTCTTTTTAATAGCTGCATAGTATTCCATTGTATATATGCCATGCAAGAGAGGGCACACTCTTAAACCAGTGTGTAATCTCTGTTCCTAAAGTTTTAGTAATCTGATGTTTCTCTCCTGTTGGAGACAACTCTGAAGATAAGTTTTTATTTCAGAAAACAGACCAAGAAGAGGTAAAAGAGTGCTTGGGAGAGCTGGTGGAGGGAGTTAGATCAGGGAAGGTGTAACTAACAAGTGGGTTCACTTGCCCACTGCCTAGACAGAGCCAATTTATCAAGACAGGAAAATTGCAACTGAGAAAGGGTCATTCATACAGAGATGATTGTGATGGGACTAGAGTTTATTATTACTCAAATCAGTCTTCTCAAGCATTGGGGATCAACTTTTTAGAATATTTTGACAGGAATAGGCTGGGAAAGTAGGAAGTGCTCATTGGTCAAATTGAAGATGAAATTAATACAGGAGCTAGAAGTAAATTATTTAGGTAGAAAGTGATGGCGGCCGGGCACGGTGGCTCAAGCCTGTAATCCCAGCACTTTGGGAGGCCGAGGCGGGTGGATCACGAGGTCGAGAGTTCGAGACCATCCTGGTCGACATGGTGAAACCCCGTCTCTACTAAAAATACAAAAAATTAGCTGGGCATGGTGGCTCGTGCTGTAATCCCAGCTACTCAGGAGGCTGAGGCAGGAGAATTGCCTGAGCCCAGGAGGCGGAGGTTGTGGTGAGCCGAGATCGTGCCATGGCACTCCAGCCTGGGTAACAACAGCGAAACTCCGTCTCAAAAAAAAAAAAAAAAAAAAAAAAAAAAAGGTGAGGGCAAAGTGGTTTTTGGCAAAGTTTACCTTTTAACTAAAAGCAGCCTCAAAATTATTGTTTTTCTAACCAGGAAGAACCTGAACAATTGAGCTACAAACATAAATTAAAAAGCTGGAAGCTTGCACAGGTGAACGTCGAAAGCTGTGCCAACAGGAAAGGACTAGGTGGAAGTCAGGTGTGTTCAACGTGGAGGTTCCATCTTCCCTTTTTTTTTTTTCTTTTTGTCACCATGTGTACAAAAAAGAAGCAGGCAATATGGTGCCAGCCAGGTAGAGAACTCATCTGCATAATGTAAGGTTAGGGTGGGGCAGCCAGCTTCTTCACATGCCCAGTGCCACACCTAGTCC